CAGTAATCAAAAGGTAGTTAATTTTGATATTTTGAAAATTAGATACAAAGGTAGTCAAAGTAAAATAAACTGGCAAATTGTGAGTACATTTTATATCTAAGGATGAAAATTGCCAGTAAAATCTACTTAAGTATTCTTTATCTATCAATTCTTACTAGTAAGTAATCTTTACTTGAGGATTTTCCAAGTAAAAATTCCAAATCATTTCTGCGTGGAAATTGTAACCAAGGTTTGTTTAAAGGTACAGTGTGTAGAATTTTGTGATGTCTAGTGTTAAAATTGCATGTTGCAGCTAAACACCCCTCACCTCACCCTCTCCTTCCAAACATGAAAAAGAAACTGTGGTAGCCTTTAATTATTATCTGGACTTTGTGACACTAATTGTTTCCTTCTAAGCCTCTATTCTCACTTGACAGTGTTAAGAATTGCATATCTAGTACAGATTATCAAAAACATCTGACAATGCCTCTGTGTTTGCAGTAGCGTGTATCAAAAAAAAAAAAATTCAAACCCCAAAGCACTGTAAACTCAAAACTAGAGATAGAGGAAAAACAGTATGCCTCCAACACCTGGAGACAGCAGTGTCTGGCTAGTGTCAGGCAGTTTATGTACATACATTTTAAATGACAGAAATATACAAGTAAAAATTAACAAATGCATACAGAAATGAGTCATAGTAACAGTAATAGTAATAGTTTGTGGTCTGTGCATGGATGAACAAGACAAAAACACAAACAGAAGTGTTTTATTTGGAGTGCATCATGTCAAAGTAAGCATCAGACAGGTAGTGGGGGTGTGTTTGCGTAAGAGATGAGTAACTTATTGCACGGAGAGGGATGTAGATTTACTGTACATGTAGTACCGATAAAGCTACAAATTTCAAAACACAACCAAGCTGAGACTGAGTAGAGAAGCCACTCCGGAATCATTTATGTGCAGCTGCCTTTAGGGTTCAGACCTTATGCAGTATGTGTCTAAACCTATGTTTTTCTCCTTTTCAGAAGTCCAACACTGAGGATTAGTGACATTGTCCTGTGTTAAAACCACAGTAGGGATGCACTGGTCCCCTCCTGTGTCCAAGCAGTCAAGTTGGAGGAACAGGCCTGAGAGCGCTCGCATTTACATGACTGACCAATGCAGTCGAATCAGAATGCAGCAAAAGTTATATCAGGTGTATTGTAGTGTAGTGTTTTGCTCACCAATCTCTATCCAGTTGCAGCAGCAGGTCGCTGCCTCCAGCAAAAAACTTTGAGACACATAATATACACAAAATGCTCAGTCAGCACAAAACCACACAGAGTTTTGTCTTTGGTAGAGTACTGAAAAACATGCACGCCTCATGAGATGTAGCAGCTCGTACTGATGTTGCCGTTGTTTGTCAGTCCATCCTGTTGCTGACGGCGTTCATGTTCATCAGAGACGTTTCAACGATAACTGGCTTCACTCCACCATCCTCTTCACTGACAGAGAGAGACGAAAAGATTTTATTCAAAATATCTAGTACTCAATTTTCAGTTAAAATTGATTACTTGGTTACCTAAACCAAGCAGTATAATCTTTTGTCTGTTAGTTAAAATTCCAGGTTTGGGCACAAAAAAAATCATTGGTGAGTAAAGTCATAGTCAAGGTTCTAAGTACCAAAGTAAGTAAACAAGTCCACACGTCTATTATATTAATTCCCCAATTCATACACAAAATATTTGAGTACACAGAACATAAAACATATGGTTTCTACTCATTATTTTACCTGTCAATGCTACATTATGGCTCTAATTAACATTAACAACATACAACATGTAAAGGATCAGTTCACCAAAATGACAAAAACAACAACGTATTCTCTTGGTCCCCTCGTGGTATCTTTCTGTGCAGATAGTTTCCAGATATCACTCTTTGAGATTTTGGTCTCCCCCAAAATACAGTGAGATGAAAATTCACAGAAGCATCTCTTTAGGTAGATCATCTGCCTCATCCAAAAACATTTTCATAACCCAATATTTCCTTTTTTTCCCTGTAATACTCTGCAACAACAAAATGAGTACAATAGGTTGCCTTAGATGGAAAAAAACAAATACACATCTGCAGCATGGCTCATACCACTAGAGGTTTTTTTTTTAATGTACTTTGAGTGAACTGACCCTTTCAAAACAATGTATAAAAGTGCTGGTGTCAGACCTGAGGTCGGGTCCCTCTATGTCTTCTATAGTGTCAGGTAGGGGCTTATTGGCTGTCTCAGGCAGCAGCAAGGTGAGGGCAGAGCCCAGCAGGGGGCAAAGACCACAAAGCACCATGGGAGCGTGAGGACTGATGCTCCTCAGCAGGTACATCATGGGAGCCAGGACTCCTCCAGTGCGAGCACACACGGAGCCAAGGCCGATCCCATTTTGTCTGTAAATTAGAGTTTAATGAGAAGAAAGACAGACCTGAGTCTGAACCTAATGGCAAATCATTACTGCATCTGCGTCGTTTATTTTGCGCCCTGTCTCCAAGTAACTACAGCAGTTCTTCAGAGAAACATCTGATCTGTGATGATGCTAACCAGCAAGTACAAAGTGCAACAAAATCAGTAGAACCTGCATCCTGGGTTTGATATAGTGACACGTAACTTATATAAGAAATTCCTGATCCAGCCCAAGTGTTTCTGTGGTGAAAGGTGATAGAGAATGACAAAAAACACAAAGCTGAAAAAGACTTTTGACTTTCTCCCTATTCTCAGTGGCTCAATATTTGATTGTGATCACTCTTGTTGCAATGTTCACTTAGAGAATCCCATTAATAAGAGTTTTGAGGACTAATACTGACATCAATATCAGAGAGTAGCTTTGTTAATGTGAGATTTCCGTAGTGCCTGATTGGTAGGCTGATTTTATGATCTGATGACGGCCTTGCAGAAAAACATTCTTCAGATAATTTAGAAAAGGTGTCATCATATAGGTAGTCCTGCTGAGCCCATTGTGACTGCTGTATACATTAACCTTAGCACATGTAGGAGAGTACGTGTCGCAGCTTAGCAGACGAGTGGTGTCTTCACAGGAAGTTTGTGTGTCTGATACAGAATAACGATTTTTTTACTCTGTCAGGATCCAGACTTTAGTTTTTGATTTTTAATAGAATTGCAAAACTTTCTATAAACCTGTTTTTACTTTGTCAGAGTGAGTTACTTAGTGTAGATGATTTAAAATGTCATCTACACAGTAAAGTATGCAAAAAAGGGACAGGGCCTAAACAATGTCTGAGGGTACTTGACTGGATTAAAACTAGTCCAATACAATAAATCCATTCCATCCATTCTGTCTTTAATGAAATTTAGTTTTATTGGTACAGCTTGTTATCTGATGAATGTCTAAATATGTACATTTGCTGAGGAAAAGGCTAGACATTTCCAACAATTAGATTATCCTCTCTATTATGATAACTCTGCTCATTGGCCGCCCACATTGAGTCTGATTCTGGAGGTTTCTTCCAGTTAACGAGGGAGTTTTTCTCTTCACAGTCACCAAAGTGCTGCTCATTGTGGGAACTGTTGGGGTTCTCGATTCATTTTTAAGGTCTTGACCTTCTATGTAAAGTGCCTTGAGATAATGTATATTATGATATGGTGCTATACAAATAAAATTTGATTTAATTTATTTCAAAACCGATGAGATACATTTCTGGGTCAGGAGCTTTGCTGGCTAACATGAAGGCCTACTCACCTGATTACAGTGGGGAACAGCTCCGCTGAGTAGACATAAATAATGGAGAGAGAGGCTGTGATTCCAAACTTCCCAATCATGGCCAGGACTGTTTTGATGACAGATAGTTCTAGAGGAGCGGGCAAGGAAAAGTCACACAGACATTAGAAATAAAAAAACATGAATAATGAAACGAGCTTTTATCCAACCAAGCACTTTAAATGTTTGAGTGAGAGAAATCTACTACATTTGGCTCTCACTGATATATTGTAGTTTCCTGAGTTATGACGTTATGATGTGCGTCCATACCACTGGGGATGAAGATGGTCAGCAGGCAGGCTGTGCCGCCCACAGCTAGGAAAGCTAGCTGGGAGATCTTGCGGGAGCGGTTGAGGGTGAACAGGGTGATGGTGCGTGCAGGCATCTCCACCAGGCCGAAGATCAGCTGGGTCAGATAGATGTTCATCCCAAAGTCGGAGATGTTGAGGGACAGGCCGTAGTACACCAGCACGTTGACAAACCTGAGACAGGTGGGGAACTGACATCATTTTGGAAGGCAGATTCCATGCCAGTCACATAGCTGATCATATAAAAAACACACTGTCACTGTCCCAGCTCACAATGGGCCTCATGTGTGCAGAAATGTTCTTACTCTGCGCACATAATAAGTGCGTGCACAAAATCCCTGCAGGATTCTTGACACGCGCGTACCAGCACCAGCTTGCGTATGCTTGTGAATCAAAATCATTCTAAATTGACAGGCGCTGTCCTCTCTCTGTAATTAGCATACTGCCACGCCTCTATTTCTCCATATAAGGACATACGTTTGTCATGAAGAGAGCGGTGTGATGAAGCAGAGAAGAAGAAGAACACAGACCTTCACAATAAAAATATCAGTAGCTTGACACTAATATTCTTCACACCACCACCAGATGGGGCCAAAGTAAGGCATTTTCAAGTCCTAAACAGAGACTTAAAGAGATAGTTCACTGAAAAAGTACAATTCACTCATTATCTACTCACCACTATGCAGATGGAGGGGTGGGTGAAATGTTTGAGTCTGGAAAAATATGTCTGGACACCACTTACACAATTGTATTGGATTGTGCTGCAACGCTGTTTACCCCTGAGACTCCAGTGTTTTGTCATCCAACCCTCTATCGGCTGGTGAGTAGATAATGAGTGAATTTTCATTTTTTGGTGAACCATCTCTTTAACATACCCTTCCACTCTAGTAAAATGAACAGACCTGTTTGGTATTCAGCATGATATAATTTAGAAGCTGTTGTGGTTATTAGTCGGATGTTCTACTTCTTTGTCAGGCATTTTTTGTGTTGTTTTGTTTAAAGGAAAACCATTTACACATACAGGATTTTATCAAATTGAAGTTAAATTCCTCACTGTTTACAATCTCACACTGCACCTTAATGATTATACAGCAGCAACTTCAATATATGCCATGGCAACAAAACTGGTTAAACTGGAGACCAAAGTTAGAAGATGAATGAAGACTCTTTAAAACAAGCTAAACATAATCTTTTGGTTTGCAGGGGAGACTTGAAGGAATATTAAATTCCAAACCCTTGGGCTATACATCCTCAGATGTGGCGAACCTGGACCCACTTACTCAAAAACATGTTACTCATGGGGCGGTGGTGACTCCACACTACCTCAAGTAACTTACACTCCAGAGTCCATGGGCCACTGGTTTCAAAGTCAAATTATAGCGGATCGGTTTTAATCACAGTTCATTCGTAACTTCCTTCCCAGTTTACGAGTGTGGAGCAAATGGCTTGCTACAATGGATAGCCTCAAAGAAAACCATGTGGGACTGGTTTTGGATCCTCAACTGCCCCGAGCCTAGTGGTCTATTGGTAAGATCACAAAGGCCAATCTCAGTTCAGATGGAAGATCTATGGATCTTTGAATTCAGGAGTGGGCCTACACCAGAGTTTTTTCTCGTCTCATCCCATTACCCTTATTACCATCTGGGCAGTATCAAGGAATTCTGTTCCCTGGCTCAGCAGTTGGACTCTTGTGGGGGCGGCTGCTGTGAATTCCCTTGAGCCAACTAAATGGTGGTTCCTGTTGGACACAAACAGTACTCCCAGATCAAGACAGCAACTCTGCACAGGTGCAGCAATCTTTATAAGGCTTCCACACACCTGAGCAGACCCTTTGACTCCCTGTCATGTGCCAATGGAATGGAAGAATGTTATATTTATTTTTATTTATCTGTAGCATCTTTGATTAATGTGCAAATTTCAGTTAATTATCAGTATTCATTATATTTCAGTATTTGATGTTGTTGACCAGATGACTGGTGTTTCATACATTATTATTAATTTTGCATTATGATTGTTTTAACTGCAGAAACCATGGCTTGGTCAAGCGTAAACCAAAAACTTAAACTTAAGAAAGAATGAATGTAAAAGAAAAAAACAAATGCAAAGGTTGAAACGTCTAATATTTGGTTTTCTTCACAATGGGCATTGGGCTGTGTAAAAGCAACTAACACAGCTGCAGAACTATCTCAAAAGTACATGAAATTTTGTGGAGCTGGGGTGGGTCATGACCCAAGGAGGAACCCTTTAAACATCTACAACACCCGCCTAGCCCAGAATGTAAGCAAGACCAAGCTACTTTTCCTTCCAGGGAAGGGCTCTCCCACCGATAACCTGACTATCTACATTTACTCTGTGGTATCCCCTACCCCGACCTTAAGGAACCTGGGTGTGACACTCGACAGCCAACTGTACCTTACCGCCAACATTGCTGCAACAACCTGATTGTGTAGATCGGCTTGCTGCTCCCTCACTGCGAGGGATCTTCTACCGCAGGCTAAAAAACACATCTCACAGCTAATGTACTTATATGATACTTGTTGTACTGGTTTTGTTCCCTCATGGTTGAATGCACCTACAGTATTGTAAGCCGCTTTGGATAAAAGCGTCAGGCTTATATCTTCATTTGACAAAGCCCAGTTTTCATTGCTTACGCAACAATACAGTGCAATATCTTCCAAAACGAAAAACTTTGAAGAGCTCAATTGTATTGTAAATAACACTGTCATAGAATGTAAGGACAAAACATACAGAAACATGTAATTTCAGATATACCCATGTGGATGTATTGTTAATGCATATAGAGAGTAATGTGATATACAGTGTAATACTCACCAGAGATAAAAAACAATCAACGTCTGCTTCCTCATTTTTGGCGTTCGAACAAGATCTATGCAAGAGTGTGTTTTCTTTACCTTTGATTTCTCTTCAGTTTTATAGACCTGGTGAAACAGTGAATGAGAGAGTGAGTAGGAGACTTTGGGGAGAGGATTATAAAGTGAATCGAACACAGGGCTGTTTCAGTGGTTTGCATATTGAAATGATAATCAGTGATCTAAACATGCATTCAAACTGGTAACTGTTTCATCGGACTTAGCCACAGCCATTAGTTTGACTGATTGAGAGCTTGTGTCACACTGATATCTAACTCTCACTGCAGAAGTTGGTCCTGAGGCTGTCAGCGTTTGACGGGTCTCACTAGATTTCTGTGATTTCAAGACCTCTTCACTTATTTTTAAAAAATAAAAAAAACTACCAGATTAGACTCACTTGAAGGGAGCTGTCAATATTTCTCAGTGAAGGGGTCAGTCAGACAGACTTTTTCTGCAGTTTGCCTGTCACACATGCACATGCAGGGGATTCTCTGCTCAGCCACCAGGATTCAGGTAAGGGGTGTTGCAGCAAGCAGAGGCAGGATGTAACTCCTGTCTTCCTGTATGTGGCTCCGCTTTTTCACATGGAAATATCTGTTTTCTTTTTTAATTTAAATGTTGCGTCTGTAGAGTGTTAAAACACCCCCACTTGCTTGCTGTGAATACCGCGGAGGATCTCCTGCTGTGTTCTCACAACGGCTACTCTGGACTTTTACGGGGAAAGGCAGAGGAAGACTGTAAAAAGTTTAGAGACGGTGGCCTCCCCTCAGATAGGATGTGGAAAAAGGTGACCTCACCGCTAAATGTGACTCATGACATCACAAGTATTGATGATAACTGTTGTCAAGTTCAAACACATTGTTTAGAAACAGAAGAATTGTGTAAGATAAGCAGTCAAATTTGATTGTATTAGAAAAAAATACAAATCTGACATTACATTTTTCATTATCACTCTTACTTTATTTTAGTGATTTCCCTTTTAGCATGATATAAATGCATTCATAGCTTTTAAATATTTTTTCTGTTATTACTAGTCAGCTGAAAACATGTCATACAATTATGTTTAAACATCTTGTGTAGTTAATCAGCTAAACCAAATCTCATAGTGGCTTAGCTAAATTGCAGGGTTCTGGTAAGAAAGAAGCTGCTGTTGTCTAGCTCTGTATGTGATGAAGGACTACTCCTTTTAAAATGTACTTAATGGTAAAGCTGCCTGTATAGATGCTGTCTGAGAGTAAAGCTTGACTTGCATGCCAAAAAGGTGGCATACAAATCCCTGTAAAGGTTATATAGCCTACCTTGTGGGCATTCTTGAAATGTTCTGAATTTGTATTTCAGGATATTGGACTTTGGACTTGTTTATTAGGATTTTTGTATTTGTATTTAATTTGTTTCTATTTCGGACTTGTTATGTCTTGTTTTGTTTTGAAATGACTTTGCTACTGTGTCAAAGTTTTCTTACTATGGCATGTTTGAACTCTGCCCAAAATTCTTGTTTGTCTTGTTTGTCTGTTTAGTTTCAGCCGAAACCAGAGATGTAATCTAACAAATAACAAAGACATCATTACTGTACTTGAGAAAATGAGAGAGATCTGATGATGGTGTGAAGTAATTAAGTACAAATACTTTTTACTGTACTTAAGTAGATTTTTCAGGTATCTGTACTTTACTTTAGTATTTATTTTCCTGACGACTTTTTACTTTACTCCCTAATTTTGAACACAAATATACATACTTTCTACTCTTTACATTCTCAAAACTGGATCGTTACTTGTTTTGACACTTTTACTTAAGGAGCAACTTTCATTTGTGTAGCCCATATTCCTCAATCAAAATCTACCTCATGGGACTCAACAAGGTGTGACATCTCTGCCCTTAGCTCTTGACTAGAAAAAACACCAAAGAAAACCTTTTAGCAAGGAAAAAATGTAAAACCTCAGAGAGAGTCACATGTAAGGGATCTATGGAATTTTTTTCCCCCTATCTTTAATCAAGAGCGTAGTCTTTCAGTTCAAACGCATGACTTGATGAATTTGTGTTCAGAATGTGCATTACTTTTCATCAAAACCCTGCATTTGCACTGAAATATTTCCTGTTTGCACTTAAATTTGCTCTTCTTCTGCCTATGCTGTGTGCTTGCACTCGCAGATATATTGTTGCTCGCACGGATTTCCCGAGCTCCGGCTTCAGTCCATCTCCTCACCCCGGCTGCTTTCTGTGCGCTCTTGAATCGTCTGCTCTTGGATTTCTCCTGTGCGCTTGGAGTTTTTTGTGTTACAACCCCTATCAAAAGTAATGAAATGAATGATATGATCCCTGCCTCGTTGCGGGCGCGTTCGCTTTACTTCAGTGTGTCCTGTGTGGGGGGTTACTCTGAAGGGAAACAACGTCACATAACTCAAAAGTCTAATCCAGTTATGAAACTACTGAAATCAAAAAAAACTTGCTTGAGGTCCTTGACTTTGCTGGTGATCCGCTAAACTTTGGGTTAAGTGACGATGTTTCCCTTTAGAGTAACTGCCCGCACGGGATGCATTGAAGTAAAGCGAACTGAAAAACCACACTCTTGATTAAAGATAGAAATAAAACCATATGGATTTCTCTCCCAGGACAGACAGAAGGGTAATAGATGCTGCATGTGGCAGAGCACATCAGCAACATTTTTTTTTCATAGTGAATAAATAAAATTGACTTGTTGCAGCTGTACCTGACACATTTCCAGATCTTTGGTGAGGGGCTTCCCATTCATCTGCGCTGCTTTCTGGATCAGCACCCATGCTTCCTCTTCCCTGTCATTGGCCATTAACCAGCGAGCTGACTTTGGCAACACCCTAAAAAGATAAATTGCTTTGATAACATTCTTAAAAAAACTAGTATGTGATCCACTGTGCTCCAGTGGGACGCTTTGATAGACATTTTACACCTTAGACAAACTGATTAGAAATGGCATGAAAAAGGGCAGGTGTCCCAATAATGCTGGAACACCTATAATGGAATACAGTCATTATTAAATCATTAGATTTATCAAGAACAGTTTGTCTGGCATGCAGCGATTGGCACCTAACATACAATGAGCATTAGCTACACCTTTTGTTTTCAATCACAGGGGATAAATGCGGTTTTCATATATTATAGACCTCCACAATCACAAGACATTTATCATTGAAATTACTGTTTAATTTTTGCCTATTTTTTGGACACACTGTATCAAATAAGGGTCACACTGCCGTTCACCTACCAGATGTAGAAGATGAAGAGGAAGCCAGGAGCTGAAATGGCCAGCTGCAGTTTTCGCCAATCTCTTATGAGATATGCCACCCCGGCCAGCAGAATGTAGCCAAAACCAAAGAAATAGTCAGTTATTATACCAGCGAGCATTCGCTGCTTTGGTGAGGTCCATTCTGTGCCTGTATGGAACATACATATGACAAGAGATGCATCAAAATACTGAATGTACACACAATAACAACATTGAAAGTGTATATTGGGCTATTACATTAAGATAAAATGTATGTTAACATTTGATAAGGTTTTAAACTGTCATCAATTCAGTGTCATAAGGCGTCACAATAATGGTTTGAGTGACCAGTTAATATGCTACGTTGTAATAATGCACCAAAACCTCAAAATGCTGTGGATTAAAAATAAGTAGTCTCATCCTGCTTATTAATATAAGCACAACAAACTGTTAGAGTACTCAAACTTTTTAATATGTCAGCACAATCTTATTTCTGTCAATTATAGCCCCCCCATTTTTTGTTCATCTTGACTGTCACATAAAGGCAAAATGTCAATCCACAATTCACATATTTACGGATATCCACAACCTGTTAGGCACTTAGCTGTGAATTTGTGAATATCTTTCTTTTGTAAATTCAGAGAAAAAAAAATGCATACATTTGTACAGCACACTGACCTAGAACAAAGGCATTCATGATAACACCGGAGATGGTTGTTCCAACTATAAATCGAAAGGCAGTGTACATGTAAAAATTTGGCGCGAAAGCTGCAGCAACCCCAAATACTGCCTGTATGGCCAGGTTGATGAGGATGATGATCCTGCGACCATACCTGGAACAAGAAGAAACTCGATCATTCCATCAAAACAAAACTATAATTATACCAATGCAAAATTCTACACACAAAATAAAACCAGGGAACAAGGACTTCAGAGTTATGTCATACATTAGATGGTACTCTGAGGATAGATTGCTTACTTATCAGCTAAGCTCCCAAACAACACAGCACCAACAAGGAGACCAAACATGTAGACGGAGGAGCCCATGTTGTTTAGACTAGCACTGTCGCACACCAGGTCCCACTGCAAGGATCAAAGGACAAAATGTAAAAGCTACTTCAGAATCCTGTGTTTGGTCACTCAGCCTAAAAGAGTTGGGCAAAGGTAGAAGACTTTTGATGAGGTGGTAAATAAGTGAATTGCTCTGTTTGAGAGCAAGCTACTGTTTAAACTTTTGAAGTCATTGATATTATCCACAGAGCCCTGGCCTTCCAGGGTCCACAGTTACAGAGTGGAAAGATTACTATGTCTCCAAATCAACTGCAGATGTCCTGCCTGATGTACACCTACTGTGGTCACTACTTTTTCGTATCACTCATGTAACCACCCTGCAGTTTCATGTGTTATAACACGGCAAGGGGGGCAGATAATATAGGAGGACCCAAAAGATGCCTGCACTGCCAGGGGTCTATCTCTGAACCCTCGTCCTATTTAACCCTCTCTCGGATATCAGTCCAAAGTAATAGAAATTTTAAGCCCCTAGACATTCCTAAGCAGTATGTTAAACACATCAAGTGAAAATTTAGATACAAGAAAACCTAAATCTCAAATCAAAGAGTAACTTACCTCAGTTACTATGGTGCTTTTGAAAGTGTTGTTGCTGTACTCCCAGCCTCCCTGGCAGCCTCCAGTAGGATGTCCATCACCAAGAGTAGCAGCATCACTGTGGTTCAAGGGGACACTGCATGACAACTCAGACTGGCCATCGGGTGGGGTCAGAAGGCTGAAGTTTGAAGTAGCCGGCAAACCCATTGAGGGCCAGGTTGAGCGGCATAAATAAGGAGGAACAGCCCCGGTGAAGACAGAAACCAGCATGTGGAATGCAAGAAAGATCTGAGGTAGACAGATCCATACATACAAAGTCTTCTGGAATTTCCCAAAGCCTCCAATAAGGCTGAGAATTTCATCAAAATTCATTTTGGTCACGCTTTCAAGATGCACTCTTGAAATGACACAGTGTCCAAAACTGCTCCTCAGATGCGTCTGCTGAAGATGCACAAGCAGATAAAGGTAGAGAACCAAACGTCAGTCAAATGCAGGATAAAAGACTAATTAACAGGTACAGAAATGTCCTCATTCATACACACTGTCTCACTTTGCACTGATTGCAGCCTTTGACTATCTGTAGTGAACTGTGGAGCTCTCTGAGGGTGATGTAACCTCAGTGGGATGGGAGTGAACAAAAGCAGGAGGGAGGTCCTCTGAGGGAGGAGCTGCAGATTATGCACCCCACCTTCTTACTCAAAATCTTTCATAACGTAAAATGTATCTGATGTAACCAACTTTGTGATGAGTTTACACAATTTTGACAATAACCAGATGTTAAACATAAAGAAAAAGGAGATGGGCAAGGAACAGCAGATCTGACAGGATGAGAAGCTTGCAGCAATTATAAGACAGTCATCATTGAGTGGGGTTTGTTCAAAGAATGAGGGAGAAAGTGATGAGATCCACCAGAGGTAATTTATTTCACAATTGTTAAGATCATATTTACATATTTTAGGCCTGGATGATGCAGGAGTGGAGGTTGATGGGCAGACGACCTCTTACCACTTCCCAGTCCTCTTTCCTGGAGTCTGGAGGTTACTCAAAATCAGCGGGCTCTCCTGGATGCAGTGAAGGAAATTGCGACAGGAATAGAAAACAGTTATTGGATGTCCTCACAAATAAATAAGTGCATGACAAGGAAAAAAAGAGGAATTAGAAAAATGAGTTAATTATTGCACAACTTTATTCAGTTTATATTTAGAAATAAGGCATTCTAACTTTTATTTAAGACCCTACATTAAGCCAGCTCTGCAGCCTGTCTTCTTGCCTGTCTGGTTTTGATTCTGCTCCGGGTGGTAAGGTGATGCTATGAGTCATATGTTGTGCAGGACACAGCACGCTGACACAGTTCTGCGCATTCTCAGGTGTATTAAGAGGCTGTGTCCAAGCACATCCAACAAACCTTGAGTTGCTCAAATGTGCGCACTGTCATGACGTGTGTGGATGTGGATGTCATTGTAGCGCACCCAAGGGTTGGCAAATATCATTTTATAAGTTCGCAGAGTACGAACAAATCTTGGTAACAACATATTGATGAATCCCGGATTTGTGTGTCAAACATTCGTAGACGCGGTTTAAGCACAGATTTGTGCGTAAGCTGTTTTTGAATGAGGCCCAATGAGGCTACATTTGTGGCAGGCTCAGCAGCTTGATGAAGGCTACTGGATTGGCATATTGTGTGTTGTGTTAGAGAGAATAAAGTGCATATGTCTTTGTTGTTTTGAAGTAATTTATAAGAAATCCGAAAGCAGATAACATTCTTTTGAACATTTCTTTGTAGTAGTTATAAAAACTGATTTTTATTCAGTTAGTGACTATATCTAGACATTGTTGACCAACTGCAAAGGTATCATATTACCTTTGTTGCAGCTATGAAAAGTCAGTCTGTAATACTGACTAACGACATGCACATTCCAACTGCCAGGGGGATGGGCATCTAAAATGGTGACACACAACATCACAGGCTCTCATTTCTCTGCCTTGTGAGTTCATCTCTTAGTCTGACCTGCTGCCGCATCGTTTGAACGTAGGAGTGATTCTTTGTGTTTAAGCGTCAAAACGCTTCACAAGTTCTAAGTGGACTGTTTAAACTTTTTACTGTTAAAACCATTCACAAAAGTGGAACATAGCTCCTGTTGGTAACTGGAGAGGACTGACGTTTGGCATTCTTTGTGGCACCCCTGTGTTCAAGTCTGATGTGACGGGTCAGTCCATGACCTCCTCTTCAATGATGTATATTCCCAACTCAAAAACCCAGCAGGGCATGTGATTAAAGCAGTTAACTTGGTACAAAGAAATAATAAATATGCTTTTTCTAAGTGTCCTCCTGAAAGTCACTGACCCAGACATATGCACAAGTTGTGAATCAGGTGCAACTTGGGGTTGCACAGCTGTTCATTCTTTGATC